AATAGCAATGAAAACAAATAAATACCATTATTGGAGTTGAGTTGAAATAAAATCACAGCGGAAGTAAAAGTGCAGCATTTCCACAAATAGATGAAATCAATTTCAAATAAAGACCACATTATACACACATATGTAGTATGTACATATATACAGCGTACGCGCGTGTGTACAATCATACATATATGTATTACAATAATGCTTATTTTTATTATATATATCAGTATTTATTTATGAATGTGCATTACGGTGCTCCAAAAATAAACAAAGAGTTAAGTTGGAATTTTTATGCTCCCACCCGCTAAGATTGTTCTGTAGCGATAAAATAGACCCCTATTTTGTATTTTGAAATCAAAAAATATTTACAGGTCACTCAAAGCGCTCAAAGTTGTACATGTATTTTTTTATGGGAAAACACAACTTTTCGTAGAAATGGTATAGAATTTTTTAAAATCAATATTTTTCGACCGGAAAACTCTGTTTCTCTTCAGAAGGTTCTCAGAAATAATACCCAATTAAATTTTTAACAATTTTTTTCGTAGTAACTATATTTTATAGGTCCGTCGAAACCCCTAGAAAATACCAGAAAATGGTTAAATAAACAATTATATATTGTTATTGGAAGTGTCCTGAAGAGAACCAGAGTTTTGATATTGATTTTCAAGAATTCCATACCATTTCCACGGAAAGTTTGTTTTTTCCCTATATAAAAGCTTTGAGCGCTTTGCGCAACTTCTAAATATTTTTTGATTTCAAAATAAAAAAATGGGGGTATACTTTTTTCGATATAGAACAATCCTAGGGGGTGAGAAAATTAAAATTCCGACTTTACTTAATTTATACCACCCTAATGTGCATGGCATGGCAGGCATGGTTACAGTACCCATGGGTGCCTTTGTTAAACTAACAGAATTGCTGTGGAAATGTTTGAGTTGCAAAAAATACATTTGTATGGATGTATGTTGCTGGCAAATAAAAGTCACATTGAAAAACTAAAGGAAGCACAAAGTACGATAATGGTAAATCAATTTGCTACTCCGCAAGATGAAAAATTATGAATGGCTAAAAATCGATAAGTAGGTGCTAAAAATGGAAAAGAAGGTTTCTATAAAAAGTTGGAGTTTATACCTGTGATCTAAAACTTATTCTATGATTTAATATTAATATTTTATATTAAGGCTACGAAGCAGATAGTTGACTAACAATGCTTACGTAGGAGTAGCTGGTATGACGAGAAAAATATGGGGGATGGAACCCAAAATAATAAATAGCTATAGTTACACCAATTCCCTATCACTGTATGGTCTGACACTGTTGGGAAAGTGGTAAACTGGCTTGCGGCCACAATCATAACTGATTCGATGAGAACAACACCAACTTAGGCACTGTATACCCTACTGAATTTCTTCCTGTAGAACTGCATGCCAAACAACGGAAGCGTTTCGACAATTCATACAGGTCATCTAAATAAGTGGTCAAATACCAGTTACCGAAACGGTAAGACACTAACGGACTTTCCGGAACTTTCTGGATTGGTGGACTTTGGACTTCTGAGACCTGCACCTGCTATGACGTTTACGACCCTCAAGTGAAGAGTGTAAACCGGACGCTGTAAGGAGTGGAGAGTCCATCCATGTATATACAGATGGCTCAAAGTTCGAGAGGAGGGTTGGTGAAGGTGTATACTACCATCGTCTGGGACTTTCCCTGTTGTTGTTGTTGTTGTAGCAGCATACAAGTTCCCCAAAGAATTTTTGGGGAGTGTTGCTGGAGTGGCAGTACTTGGCCAAATATATGTAAATCTGGGTCGTTATGGTTACGTAGACCCGACTGTCGTGGGAACGGGAATTTCCCTATCTTTGCGGCCGGTGCTCAGCGCTGAAGGCACTTACCTACTATTGAACCTAAATAAGCGTAATATTAGTTTATTAGTATCTGTTGTAACTGGACACTGCCTAACTGGCAAACATATCTATCGACTAGGCTTACGATTACATGACTTATGTATAATTTGTCAATACGAAGATGAGCGGGAAACGATTCTGCAACTGTTGAGCCAAAGCCTTCCGCTATTGAGACAAAGACTCTGCACTCTTCGTGGACAATTCTTTGACAACTTGGAGGACTTTAGAATAATGGAAATCAGGGACCTTCTAAATTTCCTGAGCAGTTCAAAATAGTTTAGGGGGGATTGCGAGTTGCTAACCCCTCAAACGGCATCGCAATGGGCCCTGAGTTTAAGCGCGTTTTATAGATGACCACGACAATCTAACCTTAGACTAACCTAGATGCTATTCGTTGTGGCATTAACACCAGGGACGTCAGCGTTGTATACTTTGAGAATAAAGCAAATGGGTTTGTACCAACTTTTTTATTCTACGCCCTCGCAGTCTGGTGGACAACGTAGAATAAGTAGCTTATAAACTCTAGTAAGTGTCAACAAGATTTATTCCAGAAACTTTAACCATCAAAACCTTTACTGAACTTTTTGGCTTTCGAATTTTTTTACAGGCTCTAAAGCGATTTGAAAAGTCAGCCAGAATTATTTTCTACTTCCCCGAAGTTCTTCCATGCGAATCCCTTCTGGGAAAGTTGGAGGGGGATACACACTCCCGGGATACAATAAAGCCACTCGTGTGTTGTTGTTATAGCGCCCACTTAGCCCTACCTCCAGGCAGCTAATCTTTCGGTTATTGTCATCAAACTCCACTATCGGTAGGCGCAAACAGCTGGATGTTTCTACGTGGTGGGACCAAAGTTAGAGGGAGAGTTAGTTGCGAGTTGTTACTAGCCGGCCGGTCAATTGCCTTGCGCGTTTCCAACGACGTTGCTTAGCTTCAAGTGCTGTCCTTGAGCGGTTTGAGGACTTTATTGCGGCTATCTACTTCAAAGTGTGAATTTCGAATTTTCGCGTTGTTCGCTTTCGGATTTGGTACGCCATCGACGTAAGTTCGCAGCTGCAGGCAGGCCCCTATAGTTTAGGAGGTAAAAAGGGTTGCCGAAGATTTCATGCGGAAGGGGTTAGATTCCTGGCAGTGCATAAGCGATGCACATACATACATGCACAAAACCAATGAATTATTTTCTTGAAAACAAAACTAAAATTTCTTTTTTACGCAGCTTTTTTAATTTCAGCTGAAGATAAAAAAAATAGATTTGCATTAAGCGTGAAAATCATAGTCTTATTTATTTATTCTTAAAAATCATACTTACATGGATGCAGTTTTAAGTTCGATATGAATTTTTCCAATTTTCGTCGCAATATCAACTCAGCGCCATATTTCGCTTGTGTACCATTATCGACCAGCAGGAAGTAAGCATGACGATTATTCAACACTGCTAATTTTGACCTAAGGGCATGAATAGAGAAGAAAAGATAAATACATCAGCAAACATTTCAACTGCTTTTCATTCAAATTAGAATTTAAATAAGTATTTAAGCTCCGTGCAAGGCAGCTCATTATCCAGTCAAATATACTATCAAATGCCAATTTAGAGACACCACATGGCGTACCCCATGGCGGATACGCAACACTGAATAGCGCTGTTCAAAATTCAAATCCAGCAACAGACCACAGCTTGTCAAACCCATGAATATGCATGCAGCAAGAGTAACTTGACGGTTGCGTTAACGTTTGTAAGCTGTTGACGGTTGCCACCTGCACATACATATATACACGTACGTATGTGCCACAAAATACAACTTTAAAGTAGCCAAGTATTTACGTAACCCCTGTCATAGGAATGAACTTTACAATACTCACTCACCTTGGCGAACTTATGCTATGACAGGGCACCTCACGATTATGTCCCAAAAGTTCGTGATTACGCTCCACTATGCCCCAGGGTGCAATACCAATACTAACAACACGACCACTCCGCTGCTGACCCTCGAGCAACAACGCATCGCCCACCTGTTTTGTAACACCTGCAAAGTCGAAGAAAAAAAAATATACATACATTATTGTAATGGAAGATATTACATACTTAGTTGGCAATGGTAAACGTCCATACACAACGTAATGGACCTACATAAATGGACTTAAATCTAAATAATAGCGACCACTTCTTCAGGATGAGCAGTATTTGAAATTAAAATAAGTTCTAAAGAATATGTAAATGAGATGCTGAACAAACAATTTAAGCCCTCTGCTATAACCGACATCGGGATTTACCATTTAAATGAGTTACTGGAAGTTGAATGGACCATAAAATAAATAAATTGTCAGCTAGCCTTAAAGTTTAGCGGAAGAAGATCTCATACTTATGTAGTTCAGTATGTACGAGTACTTGTAGATATTAAGATATATATGTATATGCCCATATCGNACAAAAAGCCAAACGCCAGCACTGATATCCGCCGAGGCAACAGACAAGTAAATAACAGATCAACAGTTGAAGGCAATAAGTAAACAAATGTAGGCAGATACATATGTACATATTTGCGTAGATATGTATGTACATACAAATAATCCGTGTGTGCATAAGCAATCAGAAATAATACGTTAAAGACAGCCCCCTTGCTTTTTTATTATTAATCCGCAAGGCAAACAAATGTAAACGAAACGAATTGGCTGACGTTGCCCATAAAATAAATTGTTCTTTGTTTGGGTTTTTGCTCAATAACTGACAAAGGCGAGATGTGTAAAGCCAAAATTAACGAAAATGGAATACTAAACGAAATCAATGTAGCATTTTCCGAGAGCAGTACATATGTACATATCTATGCAGGCAATATACATATATGGGTATATTTGTGAGTAATGCTCTAAGGCGGCACTTGCTCTGTGTGATGATTAAGTACTTTTTTAGTGGTGGTTAAGCTTCTATTAGGGAAGGAATAGTGTAGGCACAACTTGAAATATTTCTTAATACGCATCATATCGAATATGTACTAGGAATGTATGTGCAATGCGACGTTTTATTTGCATACGTTAAAGTTCAAAAATGTGAAAAATAACTCAACTTATACCCGTCATATTAATATTTTCATACTTAAGTTGATATATGTATATGGGGCTTCCATACCAAAACGGACGCGGTTCACACTACATGCGTTTGATTTGTTTCAAATTTTTAGGGTTGATGCATGTACATAAATAATTGATTAATACATTTTTATAAACTTTACGGACAAAGAAAAAATTAAAAAAAGTAGGCACAGGGTTAAACCTTATTGCCTGGCATTGAACGGAAATTCATAAACTTATCAAATTTAGTTGTTGTTCGGTGTGGGTTTGTGCGGCTCTTTACAATGACATAAACAGTAGACTTGAGCATTTTATGTACAAGCAACCCTAAACTACACTAATTTAGAATGTATTTAACTACTTTACCTGTATTTGTTCCGCCTGTAAAAATCCATGCGCCAGTCGTTTTCGCCGCCTTCAAAAGGCCCTTGCGAATTTCCTGAAAAATAGTAAAAATACATTTCAAATTTCAGTTAAGCACCACTTAAGGATTTTTATTGAATATTTATAATTTGCAGCATAATTGATTGGCGCTAACACAATGTGGGAAGCTATTTTTCATTTCAGAAATACACTCGGGGAGGTTTGTCTTTGCTTGGCGCAGGGCGACCGCTGTTAGAGAAAAACTTTTATTTTCTTTTATTTTTCTGATGTTAACCGGAAACTGGGATCGATCCCAGGCCCGCGGA